AAAGAACATTTACACGGCGGCTTGAAGATATGAATTTTATTTTCTCGTGGCAAAAACAATATTTTACTCACTCGCTGAGCTCGTTCGTAAAATATTGTTTTGCTACTCGAAAATAAACTTCATATCTTCGCGCCACAATGTAATATCCTCTCTATATATATGAGTTTCTGTATAACGGTTCTTACGATCATGAATCAATATTCGAGAATAATAGAGACCATAAGATTGAGGTTTTTGGGCATTTCCTGCAAATCGCGAAGGTCAAGAAGTCACGTGACCAGGCCCTTGCCGTCAGGTTTGCGGTTTGAGGTTCACGTTTGTACGGGTAGACCACGTTCTAGAGGTAAGTTTTGCACCTTAAAACATCACAATCCCACGATTGAGAGGAAATACGACTTTTTAGAACTCTTTTGCTTATTGACTATCGAATTCTATTTCAAAAACGTAATTTTGAAGACAATTTCTTGGCTAAAATAGAAGAAAGTAGATGAATGAAAACAAGAATGGTCGCTGCGAGCTACCACCCGCGAATCTTAAGTCCCAAATATGGGCAGACGGGTAAAGTGAAACCGTTAATTGCAAACCAGAGTTTGAAGTTTGCAGTAAAATGACCAAACCTCCATCCTAAGGTCTCTAATGAGTAAAAACTCGGCACAACTTGGTAATCTTCACCATCCAGACAATTACCATTCTGAATTATCTCACCAAAATAAGAGAGACATTGGAACCTTTAAAGTTCACAATATCTAAAACCGATTTACAGTAACTATTTTCAGTGATTTAAGAAAAGTGATTTCGAAACAAACGCCGCATAGAAAACCCTGAAAGTTAAATAAATGCTACGGCGTTTAATCGAATAAATAAGGTAATACTAGTTAAAATGATAGTCATAACAGAGCCATTAGTTTGTAGCCACACAAATCCTTTTGCCATAAGTGATATTTAAAAAGCTTTATTGACTTAGAACAACACCTTCAATTGGAGAGTAAGGCAAAAAAATAATATCGACACACTGTTGCTGTTACTGTTACTGTTTAGGGACTCTTAGGCGGGGATTCTGTTTAAAACTAAACTAAGATGTTCTTTGGGCGAAGAATTTTAAATAAACAATCCAACGATTGTTTTTAAAAAAAATTCAAGAGTGAATAGATCTACCTATAGATTTTTAAAACCTTTAGCCGATTGAATAATACGTAGTTCGCACTTTATAATTTATAGAGGACCCGGTGTTTAAAACAGGTGACCTGACCTTCAATGAAAGTCTGGAAAGTGTATTAATTTCAACCAGAGTTAAGTTAAGTCTGTTGCGCTGCAGGCTGCGTGTTGGAAGAGGGTGTGTGTAAATTGCCAACAAAACTGCAGTGAGGGTTATCACATCTGCTGACATGAATCAGAATAAGTCACGCTAAAATTTTTCTCTAAACTGGGGTGTTGATGATAGTTGTGGGGGTAGTGGGGTGAGGGCAGAGGTTGGCAGTGCGGTCAAGGGGTTGAATTGTGACCTTAAAGGGGAACTTGCTTCAGTATTTCAACCCTAACTCGGAAATCGCAGAAATAGGTTATACCAGGTTCTTTAAAACATGTTCAGGGGTATCACTCTTGGCCATCCGTTGTCTAAAGATCATAACCTGGGATCAGGCTTCGCATTGGGGGGGAGAGGTAGTCTGGAGAGGGAAAAAAACCGCTAGGTCCGTTTCGCTCGCAGATATGTTTCCCATGTGACCCCGTTTTTGGCTTTTTCCCCCACTGCAGAGCCTTGTCCCAGGCTACAAAATCGTTGACTTTTATTCCAGTCCTGGGGCCCGTTTCTCGAAAGTCCCGGTAACTTTTCGGGCCCGTAAGGCTGGCAGCCTTCTCTTAATGTTAATTTTTGTGGACTATGTCTTTCTTTTTCTTTTTCTTTTTTTTTTTCGTAAACGATAACAGTTCCCTGTAATGAATTGTAAATGTAATGTATTGTAATTGTTTGTGTGTGCGAAATTAAAAAAGAAAAAAACAATAACAACAACAACATCAACTTTTCGGGCCCGAAATCATATATTCATGTCGAAATATAAAGAATAACAGCGCGGGTCCTGACTAGCAAACTGTACTCCATTTTGTTTCACTAACCAAAGGTTTTATCATGTTAAATGCAAAACTGTGGAACTCTATCTTGCATGTAAACAACGACAGCTTTACCGGCCCGTTAATCATCGGGGCTTTCGAGAAACGGCCCCTGGCCCGTCTGGCTAGCCTTCCCGTAGCGTGTTCCCAAAAAAGGACACTCCGCCCCTCCAACCCCACCCCCAAGGTAGAGAAGTTTTTGGATAATGGCGAAGAAGGAAGTTCATCGTCGATGGCTCCTTTATTTCTGTCGATCCTGGTTAGTTTCTTTAGCTTTCGCTTATCCTCAGTTTGTGATAATGGTGCACAATGTAGCTTTAACTCAAGATGTCAGTTGTGCTCGTTATGGGAATAGGATTCGATCGGATAGATGGCGTTTGTGTGAACTGCACAGATTATGGGCAAAGGTTTAGTGGTTTTGTCTTACGTTCAGGGACTGTTCTCCTCAAGAGACGAACGAAACCACTCCAGCCGCCAGTACAACAAAATGTTTAGATTATAACACTTGCCATACTATGGCAAATATCGAATATTGCCATATAATGTTTTACCTTAATTCCACCTATTGGAAATCTGCAAATTAGCAGTAAGGCTAATCATATTTACTACATAAAATGAGGTGTCCTATATCATGATAAATAATACATGTAAGTTCTAACTCAGTGTTAAGAAGTGAATGGTCGAAAATCATAGTCCAGAACAGATTGATTTCGGCACATTACTCAATGTCAAAGTTGTTCATGTCCGTCTAACTTTTTTCTATTTTCACTCTTCGTAAAGAACTTTCACCTGACCAGGAAAGATACTAGAATCAATTAATTTCCAGCCACAATACTTCGATCCAAAAAGTTTCAAGGGTATGCTTGAGAAGTAGACCTTTTTTCTATTCTTCTCCTTTATATTGCCATTGATTCCACAGTTTGTCCACAAATGAATGGTGAAGATGCAGTTCTGGGGCATTTGCTGCTATTTTAATCTTTCACTGTGCCACCGATTGCGAAGAGAGGCAACAAGCCTTATAGTCTAAACAGATAATTTCTTCAAATTCTATGAAATCTTCCAGGGGCAGCGATAACGTTTTGTTCACGTGATCACTATTGTAGCGAAGGCTGACTTTCGTGAAATCACTTTTTAAACATCCTCCTCCAGACACGTCATCATTATCCGGCTCCATCTCCTCCTAAACCATGATCACCAGGGTTCCAAAGGTCTTTGTCTCCAGTTCCTCTCCACTAATGTTGAGTGTTTTTGCTCCAGTCCCAGTAGGGTAAAGTTACACGACAGTCGATTCTGCGTAGAACGTTTTTCATCTCAACCAAAAACACCGATGAAAAGGAAAAAAGTTCGTTCTTGATCTCCGGCGGTGCCGTGGAGATCTATGAATTTCTCGAAATCTTTCTTAAAAACAGGATGGACCGATGCCAGCTTGTAAAGTCTATCGTCGATGGTCATTTTGGTGAAATCTTTTCTCACGCGGTAACAACTGGTAAGTTTACCTTTCTTGCATTCACAATGCTCCTCACACTTATTGAAACATGAAACTTCCTTCCTTGCATCGCACTGGACTTGAATCGTTGGAGTTCGTTACTGGATGGCTTGCATCAAAAACTATCCAGGCATTAATAAGACAAACAATAAACTAATAATGACGAAGCCTCATTGGGTTGACTGCAACAACAAAAAATGGTTGCGAAATTTTAAAGGTTGTTGTCTGATAGTATATGTGCATGCATTGTTTCATTTTGCAAACTGTTCTTAAAAGAACCCACCAGCCGCCCAGGTACTTTTCAATTTTTTCCCCTTTGGTAGAGGAAGGGAAGAGGCAACCCTTCGACGATCCTTGTTTTTTGAGATGTTATCGAAAATGTGGTCAAAAACAGTATATCCACATTCCTAGAAAAGGGAGGCTCCTGAAAGTGTGAAAGTGAGGCTGGTTTTACCTGAATTGTTAAAATCTCCATTTTTTCCCCTGTGAATGTATCCAATGAATTCCATCTTTCCCTTTTACGATCTTTTGACTCAGTAATCTCCAATCACTTAACTATATTGAAACCTATTTCTCTCAATAAAATTTGATAAAACTTCCCTAATTTTCTTTGGAGGACTGTCTAGGCGAGGTATGAAAGTATTTTCGACAAATAACCATTTCCTTTTAAACAGCAGAGGTTTTTTTCTCTGAAGTTTGACTAACTTAAGATGATGTTCATTTTCCATTTTGCTTGTTAAATATCGACCTCGTAATAGAGAATACATGAGAGCTACAGCTAAAACTCGACCGGATCTTAAGGTTAGCTTAAGACATCGATCCTAGTGGAACCTGCACTGACAAAGGTCCCTCCCTTCAAAAAAAAAATCTCCCTCTCCCTGAATGACTGAGGAGCTCTAATGATTGTCTCGAACCCCAAAACAAGGCTCGTTGCACCACAGGTGTTGGAGTGCTAAAAGCTAGGCCTCACACTCCTAACTTCATCGCTCTTGACCAATTTTGGGTATAAAGTATACCGTAGTTTTCTTAATTTTGGTATTTTACACAAGTTTTAGTTTATTTTTTGGTATATTGAAAGATTTATTTCGGGTATTCTGGTATTCCATTATCCCTCTGGCCGACCCTTTATACTCATGTCGCTATTCATTACAATCAGTATTTGGTTGGTCGTGATCTCATTTTTGGTGCTCTCGTTTGGCTTTTGTATCTTTACTTAAGGTTACGTCTATCGCCAGTTTAAATTGTAACTGAGTAGTAAGGCTAACAAAAGCTTAGAGTAATCGGTATATTGCTGCCTTGTACATCAGTTGTTGTTTATACACCGGACGTAATGGCGACGAAAAAGCATTGAGAGAAATGACAGGTGGCCATTCAGGGTAGAACCAAGGTTATATTAATAGCACATCGGTCGTCAGTCCAGTTTGAAGTACCATTTTGAAGGGCAAAAATATTGCCTTTTAAAAAATTAGGAATGCTCGTATCTAAGAAGATAAACTGGGCATTAAATACACCTTAACTTTTGTATTTTTGCCTAACCAGGAGGTCTAACACAGGTGTCATGCAAGCGATAACAAAAATTCACTTCATGAGCACATAATATAGACAGTTTTGCAAAAAAAGCAACCATTGTACTTTGTAATATAGAATGCAAGCCAAGGAAAAACTGGGGAAAAACATGCAAATAGAACCAAAAAAATACATGCTACGCAAGAACTCTCCCAACCTCACCTCCCCTCCTGCCCTTGCTTCGTCGATCGCGATTTTTATTCATTTGCTTGTTTTTAATGCAGTGATCTTCATT